TGAATTTCTTCTGAAGCATTTTCCAAAAAAGTAGCCATTGCACCCAAATACTTTTCACTTATGGTTCTCTTTCCACCAAGTAAGAAATGAAACTGTGTTTTTAAAATAAAAAATTTGTTACTTTTAAATAACAAAAAAGCTTTATAATTATTATATGTGCAACAGAACTGATTCGAAACGTACATAGATAAAATATACAAAAAAATATTGTTATTTAGTTATTTACTTACTTATTACTTATTTAGAAATTATATTGTAAAGAAATTCGTAATAAAATATATGCTATTATTTGAAGATTATTAAATGAAAATTCAAATTTCAACTTAACAAAATCATAAAAATTATTATTATGTATGAAACTGCATCTTGTTCAACTACCTTTAATCGCGCCAGTTGTGACTGCATTGCGGATTGCAACATTTATAAAATGTCGTCATAGGTTCGTCAGCAGATCTGGTTTGAATCTGCATAAAATATGCACGAGGGTGAGAACATTTTGGACAGCGCTATTCCGTCGAATCAACGTTTTCCCAAGCTGCACTTCCACCTACTACATCATCAACTTCTTTCAATTTTGGATATGTACGATTGCTTACTCTTCTCTTGATATTGAATATGTATGGACACGTATTACATGCGAAACGTAACCCTGCTAAAGCTTCCTCTACTCGAAGCACATTACCACAAGTTGGACAGAACATTAACATCGTGTAAATACAAATGTAATTTAATTATTAGAAGAATAAATTATATATTTTTGTAGGTAATTATTTATAAATTCACAAAAAACGAATAATATTAAAACTTTAAAATTCACTTGTAATAAGTTGTACAAAATTATTTATTTTATACAATTTCTTCACAACTTTAAGTTACACTCTGACTATCATATATATATTCTACATGTTAGGATAAATTATACTTACGAATTATTGTTATTATTCAACAATTATTGTTGCTTTTTTTATTCTGTACAGTAATTTCATGTTTAATAATAAGAATAATTTGTTAAATTAACTTAATTTATAATTTAAGAAAGACCTTTGATTTTCATATAAATCTTATGTACATTAAGTATTTATTTGAAATGTTATATAATTTACATGTGTATGCGCCTTTATTTAATATGACGGTATAATAATGAACGGTCTTCACAAGTTTTTTGAATGAAAAAGTTAGTTATTAATAATTTAAAATAATTATTATACATTTAAAATAACCATATTTTTTATATAAATAATGATTTTAATATAAATTAAAAATTACTATCAAATTTTTAATATAAACAAACAATTTACGAAAGGATAATAGAGTGTCATTTGCTGTATTTAAAACTTAATTCAATAAAATTAGATATTTAAAAAAAAATTCAGCGTTAAATCTATCTCGATAAAGAGATGCATAAAATATTTAAATAGTAATATAGGTTTAATCTACTATTTCTATATTTTCAGTTATGCATGGTTGGATCGTCATTTAAATGACTTTAAAATTATTAACTAAAAGAGAAAAAATAAAGGTATAATTTTAAAAGTATATGTGACTTTGTTTTGTAAAATATAAATTAGTCGTATGACATTATTATCATATACATATCTTAACATGTTTCAACGGTATGTACATAACCTATTTTAACCGGTATTAATGTTATAATATATTTCATTTGAAAATTTAAGGCGATTTAAGTTTTATTATAATAATTTTCTGGTGTAATATTAACTTTTTTTGTAATTTTTATGTACATTTTAGTTGTAAAAGTCTATGTTTGACATTAAATATACAATCACGATATAAAAGTATGTTATCGAAAGCCGAAATAAAAGAGAGAAGAAATTTGTTATTTGAAGAAGAAAAGAAAAGGCAAAGAAATGCAATTGGAAGAATTGAAAAGATAGAAGTCAAATATCAATCTCCTATAGAAGAAGTAATTCTTATAATGAACAAATGTATATCAACTCCTACAGATTGTGCAAAACATGTATCAGAAGGTGTATCTAAAGTATCTGCACTTGCCTTAGTAGATGGACTACCATGGGATATGAATCAACCATTAACATCAAACTGTGAATTAAAATTTCTAAATTTGCTTAGTCCAGAAAACAAGGCTGTAAATGCAGCTTTTTGGCGAACTTGTTCCTTCATTTTAGGTGCTGTTGTAGATATGGCTTTTAAACCTGATGTAACAGTTCATTTACATAGTTTTCCAGTACCAGTTATAAAGTCTGGAAGTTTTATATATGATGTGTACCTTGATTTGGCTGATTGGATTCCTACAGATCAAGAAACACGTGCATTATCTGCTCAGTATATGAAATTAGTAAATCAGCATTTGCCTCTAGAGAGGTTAGAAACTACAGAAAGCCTTGCACTTGACATATTCCAGGATAATCCTATTAAGATGGCACAAATACCAGATATAGCAAAATCTAATAACAATAAAATTATTTTGTATAGAATTGGAGATCATATAGATATTAGTAAAGGACCTTTCATAGGAAACAGTTCATTAATAGGATGTTGTACAATTACTGCTGCCCATAAAATTCCAGAGGAAGAAAATCTATACAGATTTCAAGGTATAGCACTCCCTAAGGGAATTTTTTTAAATCAATTTGCATATGGTATATTGGAGAAGCGTGCTAAGAAATTAAATACTTCAACATCTTTCACACAAAGAAATAACATGAAGGAACAATATTCTGCTGAAATAATTGGTAGAAACTAATTTTGATGTATTAAATATATAGTGTAAATAAAAGTACATCTTTGTAATTTTATGCTACTTGTACGTTTTAATGTATACATTCATATATATACATATATATGAAAAATTAATATAAGAAATATAATCGTATACTTTCAATACATATGTATGAACGTGTACAATTATATACGTGTACGTGTACATGTGCTATAATGATTATAGTACTTTAAAATATAATATTTTAATTTACAAATTTAGCAAATTCATGAATTTCAACGCATACGTCGTGGACTATGCAATTCCCATACAAAATTACTCGGTAGTCTATTAGCTATTGACGCTGGACATATAACGTTCATTCGTAAGTAGAGTTGTTGATTCTTGTACGTTTTCGTCTCGTAAGTTTCAAATTCGTCCGATTTTAAGATCGATCTTACAGAAAGTGGCGCCAATTCTGGCGTACACTTTAATTCGATCTCGATTATCAGATCGAAAGATGGCGGCCTTTGGATCTGTTGTTCAGTGTCAATTGTTATATTTTCCGTTCTCGTTGGATGCATAAATTTACTTTCATATGCGTATTTATTCATATTTCCATAGTAAAAGAAACGTCCACCGTACTCTCCGTATCCCGAATAAGTGGAAGCTGGTGGAGGTCTTAATGAAAGTATTAAAGGAATCTGAAAAGGAAAGAATATCAATAGGATTATTTATTGATGATTATTTTTCGTTCTATGTTTTATTTCTCTTCTGTGCACAAATGTCACCTGTAAAACTAGTTCGTGCTCGTAATGTAAGTTTTCGAAGAAATGTTCATTTACGCTAGCCACAAGACGTCGTAGACGAAGGTACATGAAACGTTGTTCGTCCCTCCAAGTTTTATCTTCACTGTTTTTGGAAACTTCTAGACAAGTAAACCAAGCGCGTTTCATCGTGTACTTCAACTTCATGCTAACAGTTCCTTCGACACCTTTTCTGTTAGATGTTACTTTGAAAAATTGCACTTGTCGACCTTCTACGAGACAGTCCAGAACATCTACGACTTTGCATCCGGATACCAGTGCCGATCTACTAATATTATTTTCTCGCGTAACATTTTAATTCATAAATATATTTATTTATTTAAAAAATTACTTTTTATACATGAAAAAAATTAAAAAAGATTAAGTATTTTGTTGATTATTGGCAATGTTTAGGTTAATTTAAAGTCATTTTATTGTTTATTTTATTGTTCCATGTAATGGGAAGAGAAAATGAAAAATTAGTATCATAGCACCAAAATAGTATCATTATTCGTGTCATACAGTTGTATTTCTCTTATTAACTATCTCAAAGTGTAATGTGATTGCGAGAGCCAGTACTCCTTTATGAAATAATTCACCTGTTTACTCTGCGTTCAGAGACTTTTTCAAAAAAATTCATGAACCGTTTGCAAACGGTTACAAAGGAAGTGACACCTGAGTCCTCAGTGAATGAGTCATAATTTGCAATTCGTCTAAGAAATTCATTTAAATTGTCGAGCAAACTGCCCGCATAGAAACAAAGTCTTGGAAATTTCCGTTGCTTTGTTGGAGGGTGCGTGTATCTCCACGTCACAGCTCGTAACATTTTGTACTGTGCCTTGATAAGCTCCAGTGCATTCAGAGCTTTGCTACAGGTCAGTAATCCAACGTGTGTTTTCATATTTTTCATGACACTCTCATTATGTTTTATTAGACCTTCCACTCTTGAACCGGCTGTGAGAAAAGCTCTATTTAAAACTGCCGCTGCTACCGTTGAGCAATGTCTAACAGAGGTAAAAATGATAATGTGTTCTTAAAATAATCTTTTTATGGTTAATTTATTTCAATTTAGTTGAGTTTTTAAATTAGATATTCTTATTAATTAAAATCATTCTAGCCCCAAATCATTTAGCCATTTTTTTTCTTTTTTATTTCAATAAATCAACTTGTAATATTGTATAAAGAATTTTTTTTTAATTAATGATAGTAAATCTTCTAAGTTAATGAAAACCGTGGTATTTAAAAAATCACCTAGAAACCAAACGCACGGAAGTGGCAACGTTGTGAAGAGGCAACAATCGAAGAATCATTTCCAAAACTTCCGGCGGTAGCGTATTCAACGAATAGCCATGACAACTCTGTTTTATTAATGGGAATTTTTCTGGATCCTTTTGTGACTCCTGATATTGCTCGCATCTTATGACTGGTATTTTCAGACGCTTATTCACGTTCATTTAAAATACAGGAATATTTAAAAAAAAATGTATGTGTAAAAGAAATTCTTCTTCGATATCTGTTGGACGATGATACTTTACGCTTTTTCTCGTTCTTAATGGTGTTAACAGCTAATTAGGTTTGCCTCATTATTATATCACACTTTTTGCTAATTAAAACGTTGTATCTGCATAAAAATTTAATAAAACTAAAAATGTCAGACAAGGAGGAACAAAACAAATGACACTTGGCTATCGGTTTAATCGAGTTCTCCATCGATACTCGTTTTACAAGTTTGTACAGGCTGTTTCATTTTCTGCGCTCGCATTAATACTCAGCCTTGCGTGTATCATGAATAATATAAAGTAGTTGCAGTAGTCGAAAAAATGGGTATTCTTTTCTTTTTCGATCGATTTATTTAGAATCGTCGTGTATGTACAGTATGATGTACAGATCATACGCCATTCTGAAGTTAAGATTGTCTTTGGTCTGTGTCGTCCCGGATTTTTCGAAGGAAGAAAATAATATACAGCTTTACGAATAATCGGCGCATAGTAGAAACGATTGGTTAAATTATATATACTTGCAATACTTTTTGAATGGTAAATACAGTGGTAGATACAATTATTATAGTGACTGTACATCTTCAACTGTTTGTACATATTTGAGATAAAATAATAAGGCTAAATAAAAAATAATGAAATGAAATTTTAATATTTCATTCGTATGTAAAAATTTTTTTTTTCATACTAAAATAAATCCTTTATTTAAAAAATCTTCTAAATTGCCTTACAATCTCATCTCACAATATGTATCACTGTAACATATACTATCCTCTTATTATAAAAGGACAGCATCAATTCTCGAGGAGTTTTTTTCATTAGAAATATTCATCCTAAGACTTACTTTAATTCTTCAAACCCTGTTTCATCGTTCCTCATTAAAAAGATCTAGAATCTTCTGATTTTCCTTGCAATCAAAAACAGCGCCATAAAAATTGTCATACAAATATAAATTCAAAAAAATTGAAAACAATTTTTAATGTCCTCCAGACTTAATAAAAAAAATATACATTTATCTAATTATCTTCCATTATTTCAGATTAATGTCACGTTAAAAAGCCTACACGGAAAAATTAACAGGCATCAAAAGCGTGAACTTTTCCGATCCACATGGACTAATGCTGTCTAGAAGTGTTTGAATCGCGTTCTGGTTAGTAGGATGCTTCCTTTTAGTGTGTTCCCTTCTATGCTTCAGTTCTTTAAATGTTTTTCCGCATTGTTCGCAGACGTAGGGCCGTGCAGCCTCATGGGATCTCATATGACCTTCATAATGGCTCTTTCTGACGAATTTTTTGCCACACTGACCGCAATCGAATTGAAAACGACCTTCGTGTGCTGCTACGTGGGAACTCAATGTCCATTTTGTCTTGAAAGTCTTGGAACAATAATCACATCTTATTTTGGACGCTATATTTGAGTTATTTTTTCCTGATTGCATTGTTCTTCGTGGGTTTTTGTTGAGAAGCAACATTTCTTCAAGCAAAAAATCATCTTCTTTATCTGGTTGCTCTTTTCCACCTTTTTCTAGTGCTGTTTGAGCTTCCAACATGTTTGCTGTATGTTGTTTCATGTGCTCTTGTAACTCTTCCTCGTCGCGGGAACATGTTCCACATAGAGTACACACATTTTTACCTGGAACCTGTTGCGTATTGGAAATGTAGTTGTGGAGTATAGATTTAATGTTGGATTGCATGATTAAAAGATAACGTTGTAAAACTAATTAACGAATTAACGATGTGTTACTTGATAAAGTCAAGTGGAAAAAATGAATTTAGAAAAGTAAAATTTAATCGAAACATGTTCTGAGTTCTAAGAAACTATTTGGAACTCTGGTAAATAGAAAATCCAAATAATAGATATTTTATTCTGCTTTTCTATATCTCTTCCACCAACTTTCCTTAATTAACTCAAAAATACTAGAATATATCATACCTTTTCATGGGAACCCATGTGAGCCTTAAGCTTAATCTCACTAGTATACTTCTTCTTGCAATGTAAACAGGAATAAGATTTAGTTTCACGTGAATCATCGTTCCAAGACATGTGTTGCCTATCAATTATTCCATTTGTTACATTCTCGGTACTTTCTTTGCCACTCTGCTGATGTTTACCCACAATAGCACAATTTTCATAGTCAGACAGCTTCTCTTTTCTCATTTCATGACGAGCAATATGCCGTTTGAGATCGTGTGCTCTAGAAAAGGCTCGCCCGTATCTGGTGCAACCAGGATAAGGGCATCCCTTAGTTTTGTCATTTCTCGGTCGGGAATTGGAGTTATTGGACGATTGTTTGACATCCTTGTTGCAATCTTTGCACGACTTCTCAATCTTCTGACTAGTAACCGTAGCCAACTGGGCTGATAATGGTATCACAATAGAAATTGTCTCGTTGGTGCCTGGATTCACTATGGGACCAACATGAATGGCTGGAGGCGTCGCCAAAGATATACCATTCTCGTTGTTTTTGCTCATCACGATCGTAAATAAAATTGGTCAGTCGCTGAAAACTAAAAGAAGCGAAATAAAAACAAATTTTAATATGCTCTAAGTCATAGAAATTTTAAGTATAAATAATTTCTTTTTCAACTCCAGGTTTTTTTTTAGTAGAGAATTTAGTCGCAGATTCCTGTTAATTTAATCGATATCATAAAAACGTGGGCTTGTGGCAACGCGAGAAAGCGTGAAACTAATGGTAAAAGAAAGGTGTTGGCATTCTACTACTTTTAATTTCCCATGTAGGAAAATGCTATTCTAAATTGTAATACAGATTCCTACCTATATTGTCCTGCATAGGGTATTTAAATAACCTTTGCGTTATAAAAAATTTATTTTACAGGTGTCATACAACCAAGTTTTCCTCCGCAGTGAAATTTTTCACTCAAAGACCATTCATATTTTCCATGGTAAGCCAACTATTATAGAAATATCTTTCTCCATATTATAAAATTCTCATTAAAAAATTTTTTAATTTTTTTTTCAGTTTATCCAAAAAGCTTAATAAGTGGTCACGATCATTAATTGACCCTATTATGCGTACAGTGTTTGCCAGAAAAATGTTGGTTTCTCTGAATGAACTTTTCCTCAAACAATAGCCTCGTATAAAGCGAAGCACAGCAGCACGTACATAACAAAATCGGAGGCCATCTTGTATCGAGCAAATTTACCCTATCCTTTGAATGAATCAAATTTGCTACTACGATAAGTCCTGTTACTTTCATTCACGTTTCACACGAACATGAATCAATCATGAATACGAAACGGGTTCTTACTTGACTTGCAACCTTGCTCCGCTTTGATTCTTCGATCGCCTCCCTCTTTTATTCGACACGTCAGAGGCCGTCTCAATGATTCATCCACCTCACGCCTCTTCTACCCTCCCTTTGGAAAGGGCGAAACTGAGTCGACACGCGACACCCGGAATCATTTTCTATCCTCTTTACTCGTCCAACGCATCGTCCTAAATTAATCACTGTTAAAGAATTCTATTTCCTATATATGTATAAGCAAATGCATATGTACGTTATCTACATATGCGTGTGCGTGTGTGTACGTGTGTGCGTATATAAATGTACATATACAGATATATTCCATGGTATCACATATTTTTGTTTACGAACAAACCGAGCAATTAACAATTCTTTCTTCTCGACTTTCTCAAGCAATCCGTTTCTTAACGAGCACCCCACCCGGTGCTGTGGGTAAAAACGTACGACAATTTTTTGCGGATCGAAAGGAATCCGGCGAGACGTTTCTCCCTTTCTCTCAGCCGTGCTTATTTCTCTCTCTTCACGCCGCAAGAGTCTCTCCCTCGTGCACACGATCTTCGTGGACACGCGCGCGCGTGTGTGGCGTGTGTTACAGCGTGGATGATTCCTCCGGCGTGGACGAAACGACTCACTCGACTCGCTCACTTTCCTCGCCACGATGAAAGTGTGCTACTACTGATCAGGAACGCGCACTCTCCCTGTTCGTTTCACGGACGCGGTTCCTCGCGCATGTCAACGTCTGCCTAGCTGATATACTTGGACGAGTTACTCGAATTGAGTTAGATTTAGCTAGGTCTAGGATGGTTAAATATGAAATACATTTGGATTAGTTTGAATTAATTGCAAATTAGACTTTTGTTTGAATTACAGCTTACATTTAAGTTACATTTGTAATAAATATCAGACTTGACTTACATTCGTATTCCCTGTTAAATTCCCAGTCTTATTTATTAAATCATGTATAAAGAAGAATTATATAATTTTAAAATAAGATAAAATCTTTTGTTACTGGAAATCAGTAGTATATTGAAATTATTTTTTCAATTTTTTGGTTTGTTTACAAAAGCAATCAGATTCTGGGAAATTTAGAATGTTTTTACAAGAATGGGATTAAAGAAAGGAAGAATATCATGCGATTACATGACTGATCACGATGAAAACCGACGCATGTAGGCATCCCTTCCTTTTTGATTGAACCGCCCTCCTTTGTGCGCGCATCTATACCTACGTTCTCGCGCATGTATACATATTCTATATAAACATGCACTAGTCTATATCTAGAAGTAGCATAAGGGTCAAAGAAATCGATCAAGTGATCCTAATCACTTTCGTAAAGGAATTTTTGTAAGCATATATTATTGGTAAAGCAAAATATTTTTACACTTTAATTACTATATTATATTATGACGTAGTATATAAAATATTCCATCTTACTAAAAAAAGAAAGTAATATATTATCATTATCATTGCATCCATTACAAATTGTTTCCATGAATTTCTCTATATAGTTTTATTTTTTATATAATTTTAGTTAAATATTTCATGCGAATATAAATTGTTTTCATTTCTTCTAGTTACAAAAATATCATCGTATTAATCGTCACATTTATAATTAGTAATTCTATGGAATTCTTAGATTCTTAAAATTCACTATATCATGTAATGCAATGAATACGATGCCAAACGACTTAATATTAAGCGACACACCTTTTCAACTTCCCCTGAGATTACATCAAGCTTAATCAGCTAATGGCGCAGGTGAAAATAATTAGCGTTGAAAGAGCAATTTGGGGGGAAAATGATATTACGTTATGCCAAGTAAGCCCCGTGTTTTAAGGATAAAAATAACACAATAATAAATTCATTTATTATATTTACAGCATAAAATACGCAAGAAACGGCATAAATTAACAAATGAAATATAGGATTTAATTAGACGCCATAAACGCCTGTTAAATACGGACACGTGCACTGACAACGGCAGCTACACATTATATTAGGTGTCTAATGTAATTAGTAACTACTAATCAACGCAAGTGTGATGGACACGTAAGATCTAATCAATTAGGTAAACTAAATTCCATCCATGTTTAATTGTCATCGCATTCTCCTTATTTTTGTTGCAATATTTCAAAAATTGCCTTTCTAAATGGTGTAACTCCACTTTATAATTAATTATAAGATAGTAACTGTATAGGAGAGTAGTGTTTACGAAACTTGTTCATACAAGTTTATTTATTGCTGCTGATAGAAAAGTTAATTTCTTGTAACTTTCTTATACGTGGAATACAACGAAGCATCTATACCTGCAAAACTTCTGATGTAACATTTCTAAATAACCTTGTCTTTATTTCAAAACTTATCGTGATCTTCGATAGAATTTCGACAAACGTAATCATAAAAGAATTGATTAAATTAAACGTTTTATCATTTTACATACGGTTATAGAATGATATTTACAATCAATTTTTCTTGAAAACATTCTTCTATATTATCCACGAAATCACGAATATTTATTCTGTCAACCTTAACCTTAAATGTAAACATTCTTCCAAATTGGTAAACGAATTAAAACTTCCTGTATTACATCGTGCCTGTATAAATAAGAAAAGGAACAGAATTACTCATAAATTATATTAATAAGGGTATAATGCACATAAAGTAGGGGAACACAGATAAGTCGATAAACACGTGACACTTAAACGCAATATCATTCTACGCAACAGAAACACAGTGGATAGGCAGCTCTGTAAACGAAACTTGATCAGAGGATGCTTTCGTATGCTAAGTGGATCGTATTAAGCTAATTAATGGATGCGCCTCGGTATAATTTGTGTGCTCTACCTCTCTTAGTTACCACAATGTACGCATTCTCGGTAGATCGATACTTCTAATTTCATCGACTGAAGGGGGGCGGAGAAGAAAGGGAAGGGAGATGGGTAGGAGGAGGAGGAAATGCAATCGCTTTGCTTGTCATACGCACAATCACGAGGTTGTATAACGTTGAATCTACGACATTCGGAAAGGGTGAAACAACTTCGGATTCTCTCTCCCTATAAGAGTCATATAAATGCAGATTCCTATTCCCGACATGAAAACATCGATATCATTTCGATGTAGATTTGTGTGCATAGGTGGATACCTTAGCCCCTGGCGAATGGCTTTTCTTTAGAACTTACTAGTGGCGGCGCTTTCATTTCCATAACGCAGGAGTGTACTTGCTCTGTTTCCTACGGGAATCGAGGTTTTATGGTTTTCTGGTGTATTATCTTCTTTATGTATATTTTATAATTGTTTCGGAATGGTTGGGAATTTAGACAGATAATAGAATAATGTTAATAGAATATTTAAATTAGAAAGAAATTAGCATTGATAGAAAATTTATGTTAAAGATAATTTTGTTTCATAGGAAACAGACTAATGACAGATTCGGATTGATATCAGAAGTTAAAATAAATACAGGGAAGAGATACTTTGTACTAAAAATTATTAGTATATTGAAACTTACTGGAATAGTGCCTATGTACATTGGTCTATTTTAATAATATTTACATAGATATTATCTACATGTCAAGGTACACGTGACTTAACGTATTAATTAAAATTATAGAAATTGCGTATCATCGTCACTGTTCATTGCATTTCTTATCCATTTTACGTAATACTGTATTTTAGTGTAGACATCAGGATATCCCGGCCTGGCACATCCTGATCCAAAAGAAATGACGCCTGCCAATTGCCACACTCCGTCTGCACGACGACATTGCAATGGTCCTCCAGAATCACCCTAAAAAATATTTTAAATTTATTAAAATATCGTACAACAATATTCGATAATTACCAAAAATATTTGCAACTAATCATTAAAAATATTTTTTAGGTATATCAATCCAATCCTAACCTCAAGTTGAAAATAGATTTACCATAATACAGAATATTTTAAGAATTTTATTAAAACTTAGATGTAACAAACGTAGACAGAATTCAATTTGTAATAAATAGCAAACTTATGTGTAAAGGATTCATCGTTTCATCTCGACATAGCCTTGTCGCTGGAGGTCAGATTATATTATGCAGAAAATGCAAAGATTTCAATCTAGCTGAGTGGATTCCGATGATGGTCAGTAGGAATCTTATGCAATGTACGTATGTAAAATGGTGAAAGTAATAGGTCTAAACTTTATACGGTAAAATTGTTTTCAAGATCGAATACGATACTATATTTAAATGTATATTACATTATATCTAATATAAAAGTTCCAAGTTCAATTTAATTATTTAAAATAAAATAGAACTTTTTCATTTACCACGCAACTTCCGGACGAGCCATCAGTGTGACCCGCACAAAGATGGCCGCTCCGAATCGGAACCGATTTTCCATAAGCTTTCATGCATTTCTCGAGATCTAGTAATGGCACTGATGCTTCTAAAAGTGCAGTAGAAAGTGACTGAGAAGGACCATATCGACCCCAGCCAGAAGCGACGCATTGTCCATTCGCAAGCTTCTCTTCCGGTTCCGGTAAACATATTGTTCGTACCACTTTGGATAAAGGAGCTGGTCTAGCTAGCTTCATCAATGCTGAAAGTAATATTTTCCATCCATCATCTTCTGGTATTTCGAAATTTATTTAACACTTTGACTGTCATGTTTTATATGGTACGTTCAGGAGGCCACGATAAAATTTCCATTATTCTTAAGGTATAATGATGAATTATTAAACAATATAGCAAAAAAAAAATGCTACAAATCATTAATATCTTCTATTCAAAGTTCTCTATTTATTTACGTTCTTCAAATTTTCAAAAACTGGTTAGAATAAAATAAATATAAATTAAAAAATTTAGTATTGTTGGACACTAATCACCATGACACCATGGCCTCACTGAGGACACACGCCCCAGTCACTGATGTTCACCATGGCAGTCGTGTTAAAAAATAAAAAAAGGAAAAATATGTAATTGTAAAATTATAATATTTAGAAAATGACGAAAATAAAGAATAAGGGTTCCAAAAACTAAGAATAAATCAAAAATAACTCTACATGGTACAAATAAATGAAGAGTAAGTCCTAAATTAAGAAATATATTAATTTCGAGATCAGATGTATCTTACGAAGAATTCTTGAGAGAATAAATTTGCATTTATTTTCAATTATCTCAAGTGTCTTAAATCTTTTAAATTTCTTTATACGTGTTAAAATTGTTTATGTACCAATATCATGCACGTAATTGTTAAATCTCTCATGGAGGATCACCCGTTCAACAGGTAGTCTTGCTGAGCCACGTCCACCAGAGTCCAATTCCCATTCTCCAACGACAGCCGTCCATAGTGCACCGATTGGCAAATTAAAAAGCTCGCTGTAAGTAAATATCAAACGAATTTACCGGCGAAACGAGAGTAAAAAAAGAAATATTTTAGTAGCGAAATTTCCTTCTTTTCACTTGTTCGTTGTTTACAGGATGGAAGGTACAGTCTATTTAAAGACTGTGCCCCCCAAAAAATATTGAATACCAAAAAACTGTCAAATAGAGAAGTCAAAACTACCTCAAAATCACTTAAATTGTTTTTCATACAATATTTACCATCTTACAATTAACATATATAACAAAATTAAAAAAATAATCATTTTTATCATCTTTACTTTAATTTTACTGTTACCTTCCCTAATTTTTTAAATACGATAAATTTTTTTCATTAATTCATTATACTATTTTAATATTATATCAAAATAATGTAATGATATTATATCATTTTTCTTTTTAGAATTTCGTGATTAATTCAATTTCATGGAAATTTCATCATTTTCAATACCATGGGTTTTAGAAGATATCGATAATTTTTAAGCTCGTTGTTAAGTTTGCATAGATCCAATAAAAAGTGAAACCCACTTATGAATGCAATGAGCAGCCGTGACGACCCAAGTGGGTTCGATGAGAACGCCGCCGCACCAGTGACCGATGAATCCTAACTTCGGATGGAGAAGTTGTAGTGATACTTGCCAGGGCCAAGATCCCCGTTTGCTTGGTTTCCCATTGAATATTCGTCCTGTCGTGGTCCCAACATACTTTTGTCCATCCACAGAAGAGGAAGTGACGTTTCTCTCTGACAGAATCGCACGTGGCTGCCTGTGCGACACTGCTGGACATCCGCAGGCTGTTATTGAAAAACTCAAGTTTCCCACCTAGTTGACTTTCGTGAATAGTCAACCGATAAGTATTAGTGTAATCGCTCAAATGAATCGATGGTTTGTGATGGTTGTTTGAGAACATGTACGAGTAAAAATTGTACCAAAAAGTTCACACGAGTATCAGACTTAAGAAGAAGAAGACGTAGATTGTTAGCTTGGAAAGATCTCAAATCAGATATGGCTCAAAACAATTTTTGGTCGGTGGAAGAATTGTTTTGTGATCTAGGCTTCAGTGTCAACCTGGCTTCACTACTGAGCTTTTTTAAGCAAAAGAGAGAACATAATGGGCAAAGAAGGTACTTGGAAATACGCTATAAATTGTGTTCAGGGGGGTATATTATGGGTGTTCATGAAAATAGTAACTTAACGTCCAATTATACTTACAGAAATGATTTTCTTGCACGATTCTCAGTATCGCGCAGTCGACAACCGCAAGTATGAAGAAAGGTATCGCCAATCCACCGCGAAGATTCATTTCCAACAAGGAAAGCACACCATGTATCCAACTGTCTTCTTCAGTCCTGCACACTTCACTATTTCACGCTACTCATATTTCTCAATTTAACACTAACCGTATGCGAATTAATTTTCTATCATTAATCAATTAATTTCCTCGGTTTGCAGACGATGTCACGGCATAGGTAGGCATAATTGTGAAAAAATAAACGAGGAAATAATACTGTAAGCTGTATGACAAATATGGTGGAAAGAAGTAGCAAGAGTACGAGTAATCCTTGCAGTGGATCGATCACTGAAACGAGTAAATCCTTTGAAGGAACTTACTTAGAAGAAAGTGATCGTTGACGATTGCCATCGAAGGAGGGGAATATACTTGCGATCACGACGAACGAATGGAAACTGGCAGCTCTTAAACAGACGAATATCGCTCTCACTAACGAAAGTTACCTCTTTGCGAACACCGTGCTTCTTCCTTGCTCTTTTCATACTAATTAGAAACGTTGATTTTTTTCTTGGATGCGATTATGAATCGTGTGACTTCGTAATGTTTTATAAACGTGGGAAAAAAGATCCTCCGACCCATGGGCATCTTCTTTCCTATTCGGCATTTCACTCTCTGTTGAACTAGTTCCTCTGAAACAGAGAAATTTTTCGTTGAGTTTCGGCCAGGAATTTTGATGACTCTCTCTTTAAGAGGAAAAAAGAGCTTCGCGGAGGAAAGAAAGCTGACTCTTCATTGCGGTTCGTGAGATTCGAGACTTTGTCTCGACTCCTATTAACGAGCTAATAAATGTAATTCGAATGTATTATAATATTAATCGTATTTAAGATATATTTGTCCCAATATTGGGTTAGATTTGGTTATTCGAATGTAATTTTAATTTGATGTTCAATTCGAAGCTAAACTTAAGTGTAACCTCGATTTAACCTGAATAACGCAGGCTTGGGACAAATATAGCTTGATATAAATTTATCGGTTCAAAAATTGACTTAAAATTGTAATATTACAGGCAAGAAAGGAGAAAAGGAGGGAGAAAAAGGATCAAATCTTGAGGTGGAGATATTTACATAGCAGCCTCTGGATCTAGAAACCCAATTCACATGCTGAGGCAAAGTGTATCCTGTGTTACAGATCTTCCTTTCAGTCTGCAACATATAATCCGTTATGAATCATTTGATCGTAGTTTCTCGTAATTACGCATCATTGAGGCATTAGGGGAAGAAACTTTTTTGGTTACCGTTGAATTACCCGATGCAGCAGTGTGATTACCAACATGCTTGTTAATCATTCCCTTGAGAAACGGATTCTCGCTGAGAAACATAAACGCACGTACAGGTTGTCAATTTCACTGCTACGATGAGAATGTCAATGATGCTGAAACAAGGAATCTACAGGACGTTTCAGAAATCTAATCATAGTTTTCCAATGTTCAATATATCGAAGAAATGATTCTTCCCATTTTTGTGTTCAAACCTAACCTTTTTGTGGAAGATGTTAAAAGTTAAAAGGAAAAGTTAAAATTATAAATAACGTTAATATTTTTGAAACATCTTATATAGCAACATGGTAGCTATAGTAGAGTAAGAGAATAATATAAATATCATAAATGAAAAAATTACTTGAGCTATTTCACAGTGTGTTTAAATTTGTTTAAATTTGAAAAGTCCTGTATAAGTTTATCTTGAAAATATCATTAATTTTGTAGCCTAATCAGTTTTGAACTTCGCCTTAATTATGCATTGAGGCAACAGGGATCTGAAAATAATAAAATTCTCGTTTTTCTTTACCTTCCTTTTTTGAAGTAACCTGTAGAGTTGCTCTTATCGAGGCCATTTCCATGGCAAGGAAAGTGAGGAGGAATGCAGCGTGACGTTGAGATAACTATTTTCAAGTTTAACACGTTTAATTAGTTGTTTTTCCACCGAGACATTTTTGTAGTATTATTTCACGCAAGGACGATTTTTCCAATTATATATTAAGACATTCGATTGAAATTGAAAAATCCTGTAATATGTACGTGAGATTGAAACTCATGGTCGAAACACGATGGAAACCATATGAGATTTATTTTTTCCTCATTTTAGAACTCAAAAGAAAGCTACGCCGAAACATTTTCCAGGAATTGCACATAAATTTAAAAGTATAAATTTTCGTTCTCATTTCAATAACTAATTTCAGCGAGATACTTAGTTGAAACAGATATTTTCTTCTCTGAATATAGATTTTTACGCTCGGCTATAAAATATGTATCTGATACTTAGAGAACATCGATACATTTTCACTTATTAATTACAATGGTGAAAGTTCTAAAAAAAAACACTGCTTTCTGGTATCATTAAAGAATATAGTCCATGCACCATTTACCATAACTGCATACGTATCGCATTCGATGTTTTTCAGTTTTTATGTTATTTATTATAACTGAAGTTACAAAATATCAGATATAAATTTCATGACTAATATAAATTTCTAAATATAAGTCCCTTCTTTTAATGTAATTAAATTTGAAAAGTTATAAGGTTGGTATATAGGTCTAACAAAATGGAAAATGGCGTTTGGAAAAGGGTGAATATGTAGAACAGAATAAGAGAACACATCGAGAGCAGTTATTTATATTTTAATCAGCTTCGATACCGAACTACAACGGTATATATGTATATAACATTATTTCTTTTTGTTATCACAATTTATTGCTTCTTCTAATCAATTTAGTCCATACAGACTAAGAATTGAATTTACAGCAATATATCGCGAATAAGCAAATTAGCCTAATTGATACTGTGTCGCTTTTTAGATCAACCAGACTCGAGAATTGTCATAATATACATACATGTAGAGTAATAAGCGTGCTGAATGTGTAAAAAGACGGAATTGATTGAATCCATTTAGGAGATAAAAATTACTACAAAGTACATTATAAAATGTAATTGACAATACAATGATATATAGTCAATCAGAACATTTTCTGGTAAGCAATAAAAAAAGTTATACTATTTTGAATGATTGCAAATATTTTCCAAAGCTCTATTATTCTTAAATAATAGATGTCTCTTGAAACCATCTTAAAAGAAAAGCTTGGAAATTAAAAATCTTTGCAAGCAGTAAAATTTTTGTTTTTAATAAAATTTGAAAAGGATATCATTTATTCCTAAAAACCGACAATATTTATGTTAAAGTCACTAAATTATTTAAGAATTTCCAGAAAAAGGAAATTTAAATATTATTCATTTAAATGTTAAATGAATAATTTAAATTTAAAATATTCATTGCAATCATTCGGCATACATGTAAAATTGCGTTTGATCAAGCCAAAAAAAAAAAAATGAAAATATGCGCATTCAGCTCTGTCGTAAAATAACGAACAGTTTAAAATCTTATTTTTATCAATTACGTTGTATCGGTATACAATTGATCGATGTGTGTAAGTGGAAAAACGAGTGTATTTACAATATCGCTAGAAACAGTATGTACACGTCGAAACGTCTAACAAACAGTTTCTCGTGCTCGTGATTTTAATCCTTGTCGATTACGATTAATCTCAATAATTAATGATTGTAACAGCATTATAGGAAAACGATCGCGTGAATTGAACTTACCAGATAAATATGTTAACTTCACAAGAATTAAATGTCATAAAAGAACACGAAATTTGGAGGTTATCTTTTGCAGTCTTCCTTCCAAGATCCATGGGAGATGAAAATTCAAATTCATAACGCGACGTTTTCCTTTTCGGACGATTACTTGTTAAAACTGTCCTTTATTGTCTGATTATTATTTCACTTCACACAATATTCCAATAATTAATTCATTTGTCTTCCCCAAGGATTAAAAACACAAAAGGACAAAATTCTCAATACTAGATGTAACATGACAGAACATCTTCAAAAAGAAAAGAAAAAAAAGAAAAAGAAACATGATTCGTTTCATTGTAACATTTAATTTTGAATGTATATCACTTTTTCCATGCTTGTCTATACAATTTATAGGAAATCGTCATTATTAATATCGTATAAAGGTAACGAAGCAGAGGAACATTATTAAACGATGTCGACTATCCTAAAAATATATGTGTATTCTTTACATAACGTATTTTTCCATGTTGAATGTCGTTCATCACGTGATTTGTATTAATGCATGAAACTTTCTGATCTTTTTTATACAAGATTCATCTGAATCTATCACGACCGTTTACACGTGGTACAGTGGTATCGACCGAGTCGTAACACAGCGTATAACTTACTATAATATTCACAAAGAAGAACGTCTCATGAAAAGACACACTGCTCAAAACAATTATATTATATTAATAAGTGATAAAGAATTAATTCAATTCTAAAAACTTTATCACCATAGGTGTAGTAAATGTAAAAAAATATTTATTGATCTTTTTCTGATTGGGACAATATTTTAATTAATTTTGTAATTTGATTTTATTGGTTATGTAAGTTAACAAATTTAAAATGTGTTGAGCTTGTGTTTTTTAATAACACAGTACATTTTATGAATGTATTATAATTCTTTTGAACAGTATATGAGAGAACGAGACATCGTTACAATGAAATATTATGCATTTACATACAAACATGATATACCGTATATTCCGCATTAATCACGTGATTTTGACGGACATGTGTGAGCAATTTATGTTCGTATAATGTAGAATTAAGGTACCAAAAAGCTTTGATATTTTTAAGGAGAATATTAACATACAAGTCAATTGGTTTTTATAATGTTGTAGAACTTGGTTAAATATCAATAGAAAAAAATATAAATGACTTTAAAACTTTAATGATTTCGTGTCTTTTTCCTTTTACATATTTCGAACATTAAATAAATTAGTAGAAAATTGAGTTTGAAATGAAATTAAGCTTGCACATGTCCGACATATAATGCACAAAATATGTTGAGCAAACTTGATTTTGTACCATTCATATTTACAGGCACAACCTAACAATTATTACGATCTAAACCGTGGTGATTTCAATGCTGAATACATAACCATTCGTTCAAGTTGTATTTCATCATGGAAGAAATAGAGTGAGGTATTTAAACAGAAACCATTTAATGTATTTTCTTAATACTCGTTACATACTTACATTTACTTTCCTTAATTTTGTACTACTCAAAATTATAATTCATTTCTGTCTATAGAATTAATTTAATTTCAAACATCATTATAGTCTCACTGTATTTCTTCCTCTATTCGATTAATCGATTATATCGATATCCTATTGATAGAAAGAATCATAAAAGCTGTCGAGAAACACTTTGATAGCAGAGCTAACGTCAACGTCATGAAATATGTAGTCAGCTATGGAAGAAGGAATGGGAAGGAAGATCCGTCTTTGAAAGCTTTTCGAACGATTTGGTATTTATCGAATCATTGAACTTGTAATGAAACATCTTATGGAAATATATGCAACACGTTTGTCAATGACAAATCACAAGCGTGTTTGTTGTATGATCGTTCCAATAATCGATCGTCTTACGTAAGGCTCAATTTTTGCAGGATAGCACCTTTTCGTTTTATTTCACATTTTTTCATGGATGTCATTCTGATTCGTTGGACATTGTCGAAAAATTCATTTCATTAAATCTCGTTTAGATAAATCAATAATTCGATACATATAACAATAACACTAGTATCAATAGTTACAGCGTAATTACCATACGAAAATGGGTAATTTTTAAGGTTAAACTTTTAATTTGAGGTTAAGCCCTATCACTCTATCAATATATATACGTAATAAAAGTAACAAAAATTCTACATAAATCAATGATGTAAAACTATCAATTTAGAATAAAATAAAGATAAAACATTTTTAAATACAGATATTGCATCACTATTCACAACGAATTTACATTAATAATTCATTGTATGTTCGGCTATTTATTGAATCTGGAATAAAATAAGTAAACCAGCGTGATTTCCTTGTGATACAGTCTTTAAATTTGATTCGTACTTTTGCTTTGTCTTCATCTTAAAATGTTTACTAACTATATAGATTTTATATAATTAGGCATATTCGTTTATTTATCGTTTATATTTTTGTTACTTTTATGTTAGACGATAAATATCAAATGTGTATCGCTTATTAATTGCATACCGTAGGTACTAACACGGATTGGTTTCGTTCTAAAGAACGTAACTATCCGCGTGATATGGTTCACTTTATTTATTCATTTTTTTTTTATTTTTATGCTTTTTATTTTGATTTTAAGTGGTCCGTAAATTTCGTGTTCGACGCAGCAGGTAGTGCGTGATAAGGCCCTAAATGTACATTCAAAAAATTCATAAAAACGTTTCGGCAGTAACAACAATAGACGCGTGCGAATCATTCGATGACATTTCACGTTCATTTACTACATAATACATTTACTACATACTACATAATGATATGAAAACTACGAACACGTTTAACTCAGTACTGTCGCGTGAAACTACACATAAAGAGTTTCTCCCACTTTGTCCCCGTTACCGTGTTGAATGAATGCTAATTACCATTGTAAAGTTAATTTGTACAAAATAAGTTATTGTATAGTATCAAGTAGTGTTTGTCTCTTACTATCAATAATTATTACTAAGTAGTATTACAGAGTATTAAAGTGCTTTTTGCTCATTATAATTTGTTTGATTTCTGTTTCCTAGCAACGGCGCTTGGTATGGTGGGGATGAAATCATGTGACTTCATTCATGGACAGACTGAGCAAACGATGGTATAAATACAAGAGACGCTTTTGAGAAGTATGTACCCACCTTCACAAAAAAGAAAATTTTATATAGTACGATATCAGTTCGTATTTAAATTACTTCGGCGATTGATTTTTCATGTGTGCAATTGCATCTACATATTGGAATGATAATGAATCTATTTGAGGACGGTTTTTTCTTCATGTGCACTATCGGAATCAAACTTATTTCACCCGCTGTAATAAGGTAACATTCTAATTGTAACTTTCAAATTCTTGTTAAACCCAAAATCGTAACGATTCGATTTGTTCAATGCAAACGCTATTCGCACGTGTCTAAAAGATAATAAAGCTGCATATTACGTCACATTTACATGTAATCGTTGGGAAATTATTTACACTAAAAGTTGATCTCGTCTGGTTTCGAAATAACCTCTTGGATATTGCTTAGATTTACCGAAACGAAATCGCACCTAAAGCCAGTACGTTTTTTTTTTTTTTGTAGATTTGTAATTACATCGTATATTTTTATACTAAGTGTCTAATATCTGATTAAGCACCCGTCGATTTAATACTCGCCGGTCTACCTTTTTTTTATCATTCATTCTAGTCTTGCAAATATGACTTTGAAAAATGTTGTGTTTGGTGTTCTTTAAAAAATGTCTCAGCACCGATATACATGTATATACTTTGAGAATTTCGATAATCGAGTTTCACCTAATTTTTTGGCTTTGAATACGAATTGGTATCGAATCTGTTTTTTTTCTTTTTTCTTTTTTCAGTGTATTTTTCAACAGAAAATGTTATTGCATTATTTTTATAAATGCTAATAATGTTGGAAAGTAATATTAATGAAGAAAATATAAAATGATCAGTAACATGAAAAGAATATATTAATTGTGAAAACTAGGTGAAACTACATTATGGATGTTTACATTTCATCGTTGTTAAAATTCGTTTAATGTCATTACGTAGACATATATGTTTATTTGAATATATAGAGTGTATCAAAATAAGCACCGCTTAAAATAATTATTATAAATACGATAGAAAAAAAAAGCACGATAAGAAAAAGATATAACTTGATTCTTTTTGACACTGTTTGTTTCAAAGTTGAGTTACATTTTTTAAGCAGAATAATATATTTTTATGCCAATCCCATAAAAATGTAAGAAAAAGAAACTGTTTTAATTTTTCAAGGCCACTTTATATTTCTTGTAATGAAATTGCAAGAAAATAAATTTACATGCAGTAACGTTTAATTAATTCACGATTGGTTGTATACCTATTGTTTCACAAATATTTTGATTTTCAATGATTACATAACCTATACTTTTCTTTCGATCTTGAATTGTTTGAAAGTCACTGAATATAAATTTACTACGTATTTTCTTACATCTTCATGACATTCAAAATAAAAATATAGCATTCTAGTTTAAATAAAAGTTTTGTTATAACATTTAACATCTTTTGCTACTTCATAATTATTTTGTACGGCATTTTTTTTTTCGAAACACTCTATATACAGATTTCTCGTAAGTTTTCGTAGAAATATATTCTTTCGAACGAACGAAAGAATCAAATAAACCAAAATTAATCCCATCAAACGGGATAAAGGACGGGAAAAGATTAATATTTTCAACCATTTTTCACGCTATAGTAATATGCAATAACAAACGAATTGTGTGTATGTGCGTATACAAAATTGAAAAATGCACGACTTAGAAAATGGAAGGAACTTGAATAACGTTTGTATAATACGTTGTACGTGATTCATAGAAATGGTGGCAACGCAAGCTTTCCCGGAACGCGTACTTTTTTGAAAAAGTTATAAGTTCCATTGAAGTAGGCACATATATGTTTTGAACTGATTCGTACGTAAAGAAACTTAGCTAACGAACTTCTAAAATATTTACAATATGGTAATTCGAATATTCGAATAGTCATAGAAATATATGTACAACGAATTACATAGTGTAATTAAAGACATATGTAGAATTCCAAGATTAATATTTTAAAAGTGATAAATATCCAAACCTCATTAATTATCAAGTTCGAATATTTAAATCATTATTTATGTGAATGAGGATCAAGTAATAAAGTTTTAATTATTAAAATACTACTTTAGTATTAATTATTTAAAGGAATAATTCGAATACTCGAAATAACTGCCACCTATTGTGATAAGCAAATTAATTCAATTAGCGTATGTTATATTAATTGTGTCATAAGTTATTATGCGCATAACTATTATAATATTACTAATAGTAATTGCATGTAGATATGATAAAATATAATACAATAATCTATACAAAATCAAAAGTATTATTCCTAAAAAAAACATCGAAAATATAATAACTTAAATCAATATGTGTTCAAGCATCCAGTCGAATGAATTAATTACAGCAATTGATTTTGCTAATTATATGTTTGCAACAAATATGTTAACGATTAGATTATATGTACACAAATATTGTTATTATTGTATATAAAGAAATTAATATCGGAAGATTTATAAAGTTGACTATTAAATAAATTATGGTAAACATATATATCAAATGTCAATATTATATAAATTTCCTTGAATATACAAATGTAAATCGCAAAAACCAAATATTTTTATAATCTTACACTATACTAATAAATTATTAAAAAATTGTATATAATATATTCAATGCTTATTTAAAAAGCAAATGAACAATTGAATTATGAGCAAGCTTAATAACTTCAATATTTATATGTACACATTCATGTGCATATATACATACAATATACTAAGTACTTTAAAATGAAAAATAATTGAACTATTCATATGAACGCGAAAAAATATGTCTGAAAAAAGTGATAAAAATTATAATTAAAATTTCATAGGAAAAGATCTTTAGATCTAAACTCAGAAGTACATTGCATCATAAAATAAGCAATCAGAACAAGACAATCTGTTTAGTTATTATTATGTACTACAATGAAATAAGAATTTTAATGAAATATTAAATTATATAGTTTTAAAGTCTCCTTCGCTTAAAATACTGTTTCATTTGATCCTTTATATCTCGATGTTACAATCAATCAGTGAAATAATATTAACTGAAAATATTTATTTCATTGTAGCCTCAACTTATACAGTCTCATTGAGACACATCAATTCGCAAAGTGTATTGAGGTTAGTTTACCTCGTGATGAGTGCGTTGATATTTAGCACATTGTCTCTGAGGCTGGAGCAGGTACCGTACTCATATTCTTGTCATTGGGATCTGAACTTTCCGAGTCCCGAATCAATGGCCTTGAAAGCGTTTGTTCGATCTCCCTTGTCACACTGATAGTAGGCGGAGGCCTTCGAGACTCTTCATTGATGGCAGAAGATCTTCGAAGTTGATGTCTATGTTCGTTCGATATGAAAAATGAACCACCACTAGCTTCATCCGGAATATGCAAAGACTCATCTTCATCACCGATGTATCTCCTTTGTATTAAATCTTCCATTTGTTGATAATCACATTCCTCAGCATCACGTAGACGTTCATTCTCAATTTGCCAAGCCATCTCAGGGTTAGACATTTCGGATAAATTTCTAACTCTCGTAGGAGGCGGAGAAATGGACGGTGTTCGAGGTGGACTAAGAAGACCACAATAACTTTCCAGCTCATCAGTAATACTTGTATATTCAGCACGCATGGCTAGTAGAATTGACCTCTGTGTGCTGCTTGCTGAAGACACTGATGGAATCACTGCAACGCGTGGCTCCGCCCAAGTTACTCCTCTTGATATATTGGAAGGTGGAGCTATCATTATATCATCTGATTCTGATCGTGTCCTACTATTTTGTCTAATTGGTCGTTCTGTAGAATCTTGTCTAATAGGTTCCGAAGCTGGTGCTTCGCTGCTGGCTTCTCTGCTTGGTTCCTTGCTCGTAGCGTCTCTGCTAGTTTCTCTACTCAATTCTCTACTCGTTTGTCTACTTGGATCCGTACTTGGTTCTTTACTACTTGGCTCTCCACTTGGTTCCCTACTTGTATCTCTACTATCTGATTGCGAGTCCTTCTTTAGGGTTTCTCCTTCACCATCTTTACTGACTTCAGTTTCCTGACTTGTAGTTGTTTTTATATCATCCTGAACAGTGTGCCCATCTCCACTTATAGAAGATTCGTTTCTACTAAGATTTTCACGAGACGTAACAGTTTCTGAATGCTTCAGTACATCATCGTCTAACGATCGACTTAAATTAAGAAACGTGCCATCGGTCAGTGATCGGACCAATCGTTTGCGTTTAGCCGCGATAGTTGGTAGTTGTGTGTGAGAATCCGTCTCTGATAGAACTTCTGAACGTTCTGATACTCTGCGTTGACGACCATCTATATCAAAACTGGATAAGCCTTCCATGTTTGGCATGTGAGTAGCCATAAATCGGTGAATAACCCCAAGATGTGCCAAAGTCTGTTCATTTAATTCTTCCAACTTACGAATGCGAAATTCTACTGCCTATAATAATACAGATAGCTCTGTTACAATGTTTGACATCAAATTCATACATTTTGTGACACAATATAATTACCTGAAGAGAAGCATTTTGAGTGTTTTCTTTTTTATCAATGTCTTCAATCTTCGAATGCATATTTTCCACTCTTTCTGTGGTAACTTTGATACGTTCCTCTGTAGACATTTGGAGCTTCAATTCTTGCTCACGGAAGTATCCTTCAACGCAGTCCTCCTCGAAATCATAAAGGCGTTCCATGTCGTCTGCCTCTAAGAATAACTTCAGTCCATTGTCGTAGGTTTCACCAGTACTTGCTTTTCCTTGTGTTACATATCGCAGCAAATATTTCACCAGCAGATATATGTGACAAACTACAATGAGCGGAGGAGGTAAAACTGGTTTCTGTTCATACTCCATAACAACAGTAAAACGTTGGAACATCCAAACTTGGTGCGCCACCGCGTTTACCTCATTGAAAATATTATTGAACACCGCAATCAATAAATTTATCAATAATATGTTCGCGATTAAAAGATAAATGGACATTACGGCAGGAGTAATCCAACGGCCTGGTAGGCACGGTATCATTCCTGGTTCGTCTCCGCAATCGGGATCTATGTTGTCTGCGTATACTTCTCCGTATAACATAAAATATGGTTCCATAAATATCTGTAGAATAAAAATTTATATTTTTCAACTTATTCAAGTTTCTGTATATATTGATAGAAAAATAATTATTTACAGAGAGTACATACATCACGAATAATCCTGAATTTCGGTTCGGCATTAGGGTTTAAAATTGCTTGTCGAGTAACCCCAAAACTCATTAATACTACTATTAAAAGCACCACAAAATAGGTCATATTTTTTACCATCTTTCCCATCATAGTAACTAATGGACCTATATACCATAATAAAAAATTGACTTATTGCACATGTATTTGTAGTTTATAATTTTACTAACTTATTTTTTGTAACATACCAAAATATTTGTTTACACCAAGAATGTTCAGTATCCTTAAGTACCAATAAATACAATCAACACAATAGATTACACGGCCAACATCAAGAGTAGAGTGTCTTAAGCGTAAAGCTAAACCAATTTGAAAAAAAATAATAGCGGCAGCGTCACAAGGATTCCACATATTCCACGCCCATACACTAAATTTATGTGAAAGTGTAGCTGGTTCTGATGTTGCGATTTCTCGTACTTTTTCACATCCCAATGTGCAAATATATGCAATTGCATAAATTTCTGCTAATGATGGATGGTCATCCATATGAATAAGGATACAGTATGAGAAGAGAACCAAGAAGATAATGTATGCTATCTATAATAAATAGTAAATAATAAGTGTTACATGTAGTAATACTATTTGAATTACTTATTTCAAATATAAAAATAACTTACTGCATTTGCCCAAAATTTTGTGATAGGTGCTGTATAAAATTCATATAACTTCTTCCTCAATCTTAATGGTCTGCTATTCTTGATGTCATAGTAGTCAGAATGAATGCCATACGCACGATGAATTCCATCATCATTATCAGTCAGTACTTTACCATTTTCTTGTACAATTGTTTCCTTTACTACAGTTGTAGTATGTTCATTGGTGATCAAAGCCTAGATGAAGAAACAGGAATTCCAGAACAATGTATACTAATATTAAAATAAATTGTACAGGACATTAACACACAGATAGGAGTCTTTTAAATATAATCAGACACGTATTAACTATCATCTTCACTAATTCTTGATCATTCTCAGAAACCATTTACAGTACGAATGTTGCTAACAAATTAATCAAAAAAATTAATTGGATAGAATGGCACATAGCATGTAAGAAGCAAACACTAAAAAAAAGGTTTTTTGTAGTATTTTAGAATATTATGGAAAATAAGAGTAGATAGATGATATATATTAACTTCTATACAAATGGGTATTTATGTTATTAAATTCTATACTACATCTATATGCTCATGTAGAATTATGAATGAAATGTACAAGCATGTGAACTTGTAATATATTTTATGAAGGGAAATAGTATTTGAAATATTGTACTGCAGTGCATGAAGTTTTATATTGAATATTATAATAAGGAACTAATCATGTACAAAATGTTTTTGGGTAAATTAAAAGAAGAAAGAAAAGGAGAGAATTATAAAAAAATACATTTATCTTAATAAAGTGAACTTATTCAATTATTACAAGACAATAAAAATCAATTTGGAATAAAAAAATATGGAACAATAGATAAAATGCAGATAGTGTTAAAATCATGATTGTGTAAAGCATAAATTGTTAGTGCAACTGGGTAATGTAATGCAAGGAATGTGAACATTTAAAGTTATTACGTCACCGAACAATCATTTGTTCCTTCTTGTCTTGATCAAAAATAGTTTTTTAAATATAATGTTTTGAGTATAAAATTGTATATACTCAAAAACATTAAATAAAAAGTTATTAAGAATAAATTATCAAAAACATACGACTGACAATGGTTAGAGATTTTTTAACCGCTAAATGAAAAACATCGGTATGTCATGATGACATTTAAAAAATGTAAAACTGATACATATGTATAAAGATACATCAATTAAGTCATGTTATATACGTTTATACTTTATAGGAACTATACCGATATTTTAGCGGTACTCTTTTTTATCGGACATCAAAACGAACGATATTTTTGTTAAGTATTTATAATAATACAACACGATTTGTTTTACAGTAGAAACGTTAGTTATCATCCTCACCGGTACGGATTCCGATACTGAATAAATAGAAGTTTTCCTTGATGATAACTAATAACATAAGAAAGATAGTTGAAAAGTGCACCGGAAAGTGTGAACTTATTGGTCATAGAATCATTGCATTTCAGGTCATTATAGATATACCTTAGCGCCTTGTTGGCTGCTGGATTTGTTGCGTACGCTCAGGCTCCTGCGCTGACGTTTCTAAAAAACAATTCATACGCATACCCACATAGTCTATGAATCACAAAAACATTTCAATACCTCTAATAGCGATCGATACACTATACAATATAATACTGACCATTTATTAAACATACAATATCTTTTAAAACACTTAAGTATATATATTTTAATAATAAATTAAATAAAATAAGTTAGGTTTAATATTTTATATCTCTTCATACATAAAAAAAAGAAAAAAAAAATTAACAATATAAAATACACGATTTAAACATAATTATAACCTATTAATAATACTTTATGCTTTGTGTGAAATATTTAAATAGATTTAATGAAAATATGTAAAAAATTTATAGAATTTTTCATTTTATAAATAGAATCTACATGCGTATACGTTTTCATATAATCGTTCAAGTAACTGTTCAAAACCAGCAACCACTTGTACCAATCGTGTTACTGAAAATTATCTATAAAATACTCCATTTCAAGTAACTATCAGAAGTAATTATATTTTGTAATTTATCATTGTGACAATTTTTTATTTACAGATGGCGAAAATTTTGATCAACTTGTATAATGAATGGACGAAATTTGAAAACGTTATTTAAAAAAATAAAGCAATGATTGCCACTATGTTCAGAAATAATAATTGCAGCATGAAATGTGTAGTGATGAACTCTTATAAATGCAATGACAAGCTATACTAATCAATACTATATTCTACATCTTTGTAATTTATGTTACTTAGAAGTTAGTTTTATACTTAACATAAAAATCAATTAACATTGAAAATCTTGTAAATCTTAAACTTTTTGAAGTAATAATGACTATTACATAATTATTTAATATATTTTTATTACGTTAATATTAAAAACATAATTTATTACCTCGACATCAGGACCCGTTGGTACACCATGCTCTGAATCACTATCTTCTTTCTCATCTTCAAGAGCAATTAAATGCTCTTCCTGAGTTTGTGGCATCAGCTGCAATTCTTCTCGACTCTTAAATTCCAAACGTGTTATATAAAATGGACAAACTAATCCAAGTACAACCTAATAGCAAATTAAAGTAATGTTATAAAAAATAATATAATATATATATGTATATTATTTTCAAATGATATTATTCAACTCAATTACCTTTAAATTTGTATTTTTTCTTGTACGAAGACCACCCATCCACAGATCTGCTAAAATGATTTGACTACAAGGATGTGCTAAAAGCGGTCGGTGATTAGCCGTGACTGCTAATGAAAGACAAGTTTGACCAGACCAATTTTGAAGTTCAGAAGTTAACAGTTGCTGTGTCTGATCATCATCTTGACGATAGCAATAGTCTAACAATTCCAAAGCTATGAACAAAAAAGTAATAAAAAAATTATGAATGATAATAAAACTTTATAATAGATATTCTGTCGTAAATATATTAGTACCAATATTTTCAAATTCTTTTCCATAACTCCGCAATTCGTCATAAACTTCCGTTTCAAGGTCATCTTCGGCAGCTTCATGAGCCATAGCTTTATATAATTTAAGAGCAACAAGTGCTTTCGCTAAAGCTTCCTCTCCATGTTGCCACATTAACAACGCCATTTGCTGGCGTTTCGTTAACACAGCCCATATAAGTAATTCATTGAATGGATAATCAAAAAGCGGCGTGTCTCGATTAGCCGGCAAAGTTTCAGCGAGTAAACTCATCGTTAAACTATCTTGTTTACTACCGGTTCCTGAATAATAACGAGTAGTATTACCCAGAGCACAGCTATTTCGATGCATATGTTGAGGATGTGCTCCAGATCTTTTCATTACTTTGGTATAGATTACACGGAATCTTCTGCGTGTATATTGTGATCGGTACGCCCCACCCATTAATTTATTTATTACAAGGCCAATGTCGTGAAGAGTATACATATAGCCTCGTGGAATATTTGGTCGAACATCGCGCAGGATATAGCCCAATGTATTTGAAGGGCCTTCTTTCTAGGTAATCGATGTAAATAAAAAAAGTATGTTCATCATATAATAATTATAAATATAATAAAACGAAAAGAACTTACGGTATTGTATAATTCTTCAAGGCGTGGTATAGATAAAAATTTACGCATAGAAACTCCATTTTCTAAAAGAAGTTTCACAAAATCAATTCTATCGTGTTGCAAAGCTTGCATCATTGCCTGTTCTAGAGCACCTGGCGGCCAATCTTGCCCGTAAACGAATATTTCACTGCGCGCTATGTCTACTCTATTCCAAATTAAAGATAACGATAGCTGTTCGGCCGGTGATAATTGTTTAGACTTGAACAGAGCCGTTAAGATCGTTTGATCAAGTTCCTGTGGCCGCTCCTGGCTTATTCTAAATACTGTTATCTGTAAAAATTTTAATTTAGTATTTGTATAATATATAAATAATTTATCTATTATTTTTATGTGAAATGATTAATATATACTTACCAAGTGCTTTTTACGCGTACATTGCAAAAGTTCTGAATATAATTGCGATGCCTGTTCGGTAGACACTTTGAAGGTCCGTTTGATTGTATCTAAAAGGTGTTCTCTGATACCTTCTAATGGTCCCTCATTCTCCCCGCTTTCACCATCTCCATCAGATGCATATCTAAATTTTTTTTGTTATCTCTCATTGTCAAAAATAAGTTACGAAATTTATATTGAGTTGATCAAGATATAATTACTTGTGCATAAAAGCGATGAGATCAGCTGCGCGACCTGAGCCATCACAAACTACTACAGGAACAGGGGGAACATCTGTAACATACTCTAAAACTGATCGAATCGTATTCGTTCCTCCTTCGATCACTAACGCCACAACGGGGATACTACTATGTGTATCTGTAATAATAAATTTGTATCAATTGTTTTAAAAACTATTTAAATGGTAATTAAGATGTTGATATTTACATGGCTGTAATTTCAAATTAGAAATATATTTTTCCAATTTTCTACGTAATACAATTTCTGCACCATATCGGCCACCAGTACCGTTATCCACTAATAAAAAATATGCGTGGCGGTTGTTTAAAACTGCATATTTACATCTACATAATTAGTATCAGTATTAGAATATTAAATATTATTATATATTTAATATTAGAATATTAGAATATATATTTATATAAAACTATATATTTATCATTAAAACCATATCTTACAATGGAGATGAAAGACAGTCATAAGGTACTTCACCTCCACGACCTACAAGTTCATGACTTTTATCTAAAATTCCCCATGGCGCTATGCCAATGCTTACAACTCGACCTTGCCTTTGAGCTCTCTCTAATAACAAAGCATCTCCTACTTGTCTTGTTACGCCTATAAAATTGAAACACGATACTTACAATAATATACAGAACAATCAATCTAATTATTTACTTTAATCTACCTGTGTTGGTTCCACCCGTGAATATCCATGCACCGGTCGTCTTTGCAGCTTTTAACAAACCTTTTCTTAAAACTTTTTTCAAAGTGGGCTGCAGTTCAAAGTTAGAACGACCACCATGAACAGTTATTAATAGCTTAGGTAAACCCAAATTCCATTCTCGACATAATAACTGTACTATTGGTTCCGGTCTTGTATCGTAAGCAAGTCTTACATACTACGAGTAAAACATAATTTTCTATATTAACACACTATATATATATATATATTATTATTATTATTATTTGTATGATCTTTTAATTAATCACCTGTGCTTTTGTTGGGTGAGGACCACCTTGAAATTCGATGGTACCATACGCATCGGTAGGGAATGGGCGTGTATTCTTAGATGGAGACCATTGTTCTCGATCTTTTTCTTTGGTATTACTAGCAATGTAACTTTGTACATCTATACCAGCTCTGCAGTGATGAGTATAAGAATATCCGCAACAACATCTATAATAATCAATCACATATTACTATTTTTACTGTAAACAAGGGACTAGATGCATTTGGGTACAAATAATATTTTGAATATTAAAGTAAATTATAATTTCCTTCATAATACGAAGTAGAATATCATATAATATAGTTATATATTAAAGTTGTACCCTTTTGCAACTAATCATTTTCTTCAATATGAAAGGGCCACCTATAACTGTACAACATATATTTCTATGTCTGTTCAACATAGTTTTCTCGTTATACAGGGAAACTTTCAAGTGTACATGGTTCCAGAATAACTATTAACTACTACACAGCTAAAAACTCGAACATTTTACATACAATATTTGTTATTCAAATTATTTTTGTAATATGTTTGTTAACATAATTATTATTCAAATACTGTGAAGTATAATATTACCATAATAGTTTTTGTATAAATACGATTCAATTACTTAATTGCATGGTGTAATGAATATGAACTCTAAGAGAAAACAAAGCATTTTATGAAAAGCAGACAACAAAATGTAAATTTAAAATAAAGTCTTATCAGTGAATTTTTTTACAAAAAAGCATTTCAATTATATAATGCAATTTTAGTGCAGATTTTATGTAATATACACTATGAAATTTAGCAGCTTTTTTGGTACAAACCATTATTGCTGAGAACTGTGTAGAATGCATGTAATGTAACAGTATTTTATTAATGACTACTCGAAAATATGAAAAGAGATATATAAATTATTATTTTCTCTTTGAAGCAAAAACATTACTTTGCTTAAAGAAAATGCATATGATATGTTTTGAAATATAATCTCAATATATATGTTTGCAGAAGCAATATTAAATATCTTTCTTACATTATCTATTTTTTTCTTAAAAAGAATGAAAAATTCCCAATCGCGACAAAACCTATAATGAACTCTCACCTGGAAGTGGTGATCACATCATACTCTGCATTCTTATCTCCCTTTACTTGCATAAACCTACAAATGGAATGAAAGAAAGAAAAGTAAATGAAAAGAAAATGAACATAAGAAATTGTGTTAGTAATGACCTGGAAAAATTCAGAAATAAATTTTTGATAATAAATATTTAAATAAAATATACTAATAATTGTAAATATCAAGTAAAAAGTAGAAAGATATATTTAGAAACATAAATTGAGAGCTAAAAATATAATGTAAACTTATAACATTAAAATTAACAATTAAAGTCTATGGTTATCAATATTTCCATAATAATCCTGCTTATATTGCCTCTGCAAAAATATTGTCCTTTTAAAAAAACAATATATATGTAACTATTTATCAATGTATAACAGATGCATTTAACAAAGGAATAAATAAAAGAATAAAAGAATAAATAAATAAATGCATGATAATGGTGCCAAGAATGATGTCTAATAGAATAAAAGTTTATTTGATGTATTCCATAAAAATAATATATTCAGAGTTTTTGAATTAAAAAAAGTGGGTGATCTTTAATTAAAATAGTTTAATATTATATTTCAGCATATTTTTAATATTATAGACTTTCATTGATCATAATGTCTAATATGTAACTATATTCCGCAAAAATATCTAGATAAAAAATGAAAAAGATAATGGCTATTACATACTTTTGTTCAGCATCAGCACTTGGAATAAATTTTGAGCATTCTCTTTTTTGGAAAGTTGCTTCTATCCAGCTACGTTCAGTTGCCTGTAACAAGTCAGAATTATTATATATATGTTTATATGGAATATCTTATGGTACATGAATTAATATCTGATATAGTATTTAAAATGTTATATGATAACAAAAAGTATAATATTTAAATAAAATACTCTTTTTTAAAGAAACAAAACAAAATTAAAATATGATATACCTTTGCCTTTTTTCTCTTCATTTTAGGAGTATTGGCTCCACAAATAATACTTCCGATTGCCATCCTGATATGTACATGCATTCACCTTAACATTAATCAGTATATAAACTAAAAAAAATGCATCAAACAAAACTAAATACTAATCAAGTAATAATTTCTACACAAAATCTTCATTTTTTACAACAGAAAAGAAATATACAATATTAAAAATTAAATAATAATAAAATGTAACATATGAAATTTCATTTTACTGTACAATTTATGAAAAAAATTACATTAAATTCAAATTATTTTATCACTTCATACATTATATTATAAGTTAATGAACCATTAATATTAAAAAATTATATGAATAAGAAAAATATATATTCTATATAATATAATATTTATATAAAACAGAATTATGATTTCTAAAACATTGAATAGTCAATAAAACAAGTTCCACCTAAAGAAAGCTAACAAAACTTGCATGCAGTAGAGATAAGATAAATGATACAGATAAGAAAAACCTTTAATATTCTCTTTCTTTGAATGTATACCTTTACATGAATTATATTGATACTTAACTACATACAATATAAATATCATTCTGTAGCAATTGAAATTCATTGTACATAAATAAGATCAATATTCTAAAAATTTTACCTTCAAAGTTATTGTCATAGTAATTTTATATCCAATATATAGTATACATATTGTTATATACATATATGTTAATTATGATATTATATGGTAAAATTTTAAAAATTTAGAATTTACACATACACGCACACGCGCGCGCGCGCACATACACACACACAAGGATTACTTAATTTAATTTCTTAATAACAAAATTATGAAGTATTAAATAATCTAAGATAAGAGAAAAGGCACCAAGTATATTATCTTAAATTACCCATTTTTATGTAAAAAATTAAAATAATATTGAAATAATATAAAAGTATAATATATTTCATGTTACAATATATTATTGTACTTACCATTCGACAACTTTTAGTTTTATCTATCATATCTACATAGAACTGCATGAACAATATCACTATATGTTTTGAGCTCAATAAAATAATTGGTGTTGCAGTTCAAATGTACAGATTGTGAGTAATTACTAGTAGATATTTAACCAATATGGTAAATAAAATTTATCTGAAAAATCGAGGAGTCAATCAGATATAAATCTAATAAAAATATGAATAATTACCTAACATAATATAATATGTAAGATTTATCACAAATTTAATCTCATAAATTTATCATACAGTTAAATCGATTTTAATTTGTTGTACAATATTACGAATTTCTATTATCGTTTTATACTCAAAATAATCAATAGAGTCTAAATAAAAAACTTAAATTTAAATTTTGGATGAAAAAAAATTAATAATTGTATAATATATAAATAAATATTATAATCAGGACAGTTTAAAACTGGCGGGAAAATACATGATCTGTCATGTGCTTGTAAGTTAACCTGAACACAACGACGACATAAAATCCTTTGAAGAATATTTAAAAATTTAATTTTCATGGAATACAATACAACAATTAATATATTCGTAAAAGATGTTAAAAATGTTTAATATTTATGTTTAATAAAAGAATATTAGTCCATACATACCTTAAAAGTATGTGAGTGAAAATTTTCAAGTAATCGTATTCATTGCGTGTGAAATATTGCACATGCAAAGAAATAACATTCGCGTATATTCGAAATTATTTTACAACACCTCTTGCAATTCATAAACTCCTTTCCTCGTTTTTTTCTTACGTCACACAAATTAACTGCTGCTCGATATTTACGTACAGTGTTTGTATTTTTCACGGGACGTTTTGTTATTTAATTGAATCTACATTTTGGAACTTTAATTGAATTTAGCAAAAAATATGTAATGAAATGTCTTGTACAGAGAATTCGTTCCATTATCCGCGTATCATCCCTTGGAAATATCGAGCTTGCTCCCCTGCATCGTTACTGACAAAGTAGGCCAAGAACAAGGTTAACTCTAACATTGACTCGAAGATATCGGCAGTAGTATCAACTGCAATGTTCAAATCGTCAATCGAAAAATTTCCGGTTTTAAGGACGTAATAAATGCCAAAATAATAAATTATTCAGTTGCTTTTATCATTATTACAATTATCTTGTATAGCATTCATTTAGAAATATTACCCTTTTACTTTCTGTTAAAGTGTATTCACAGACAAAAATAAATTTTAATTAAAATGGTCCCTAGATTCGCATTTTTATTTTATCAGAAAAATTAACATTTAGTATCTCGCGTAAATTTTTAACCAATACAATATATGAAAATTTCTGTTATAAATTTTTATTCGATATTATATATTATACTATTTGTTATTGATTTTCAAATTAAATTTGGATGCAAAAATTTAATTATTGTTATTTACTCAAATTAAATATTTTTTAATATGATTCACAATTTAAAAATCGATTAAATAATGAATAATTTTTAAGTTGTAGTTTTTAATATGAAGAAAAATAAATTAAAATTTGTTAAGAAATTTAGTGACTGATTATGATAAAATTGAAAATTCAATAGTTTATTTAAACATAGGCTGTATTATAATATTAGCAACAAATTTTTTAAGTTGTGCTATATTTACATTAAACTTGTATAATAAATTGTATAATACATTGAAGATATAATGAGGAAGTATTCATTCTGGTTTTTCGGGACATGAAACTTTCGGTTTATTAGACGATTCTGATTCCGTTTTATTAGCTCTATTTGATCGGAGAACTGCACCTGGACTAGGATATGGTCTCATTTGATAAAGTGGTCCTGAAGCAGTTGTATCTGCCCCTGTTTTAGCTTCATTGTGTCTTGCTAAACCATCAGACCATTTTCCGCTATTAAAAAGTAAATATTTTAAATACAGAATTGTATACTTTTATAGATAAATCTATAGTAGAATTTATACAAAATTTATATAATAAATTTATATTATAAAAAAATTTTACCGTGGTATATCACTGTAAGATGCTGGATCCATAGGATCCAAAGTCCTGTCTTTCTTCTCTTTACTCTCAGATCTTTCTGATCTTTGACTTCTTTTATTATCTACTGATTTATGTCTTGATCTATTTTCTGATTTCTTATCCTTTCTTGTATCTGGTTCATCTACCTACAAAATTAAATAATTATTTGTAATAGAAGTTAAAAAATAGAAAATATTAAATTTTTATTAAATTAAGAAACTTTACTACTAACTTCCATTGGTTCTTGTTCACTACCACTATCATCGCTTGACATATTATCATCTTGATCTGCGGCTTTAAGATGCAACTCTTCTCTTAATTGTGAAGCTGGTTGAGATATTTGACATTTTGGATGACCTGGTGGTAGCCAAGATACTAAATCAGATGACCAATCCCAATAATAATGTTGACCTCTAGGAATAAATTAAATATTATTATTAAATGAATTAAATACCAGAATTTAAAATAAAAAAGATTGCCTGATACTAACGATCCAGGATCATAAACAGCTTTCCAGGTTTCTGGCAAAGGATACCTTTGTATTAATCTTATTTGCTTTTTTAAATATTTGTCAGAGGGTTGTACATGTCCGAGACCCCACAATTCTTTGCACTTTTTTGTGCATTCGTGATAAATATTATATTTATTGGGACAACCACTATATCCCTAAAATTAGTTTATTATTTACTATCTAATAAAATATTATAATTTCTTTTTATTTAAAATGCTCAAATTATTGTTTGTTATTAATATTCTACAAGTATTCTTGTCAGATTTACCATAAACTTTTGTGATATGTCAATTTGGTTAATGTCATCTTTTGTACTGTCATAATCTTCAGCTATTACTTCTTCATGAATTTTTTTCCTTGATTCCTTTTTGGTGGATTCTAAAAATAATATATAATTTTATATATTAATAATAATATTTTGGTTATGGCTTACAATTTATTATGAAAGTTATTTTTAAATATTTTAAGGTTATGTTTATTTTTTCAAAATAATACTCATATAATGCAATATTTGTAACATTTATAGAATACAAAATAATAAACTTAAAAATAATGCAACAAAATTGCTAATGATATCGAATTTTATATAGAAATAAATAAAATTAATATACCGTGTTTTTCGGATCCAGAAATGAGTCCTCTTTTAGCAAGCCGAGCAGCTAATGCAGCTGGTAATGGCATTTTATAAGTTTAATATGTTTTGGCTTCTTTCTTCTCACTTATACTATTGATGGAGGATTATTTACAACATTTACGAACGAAATAATTTACGTATTCAAATCTTGTATACACAAGTATAAATTCTAATCAGCAGCACCTAAATAATTTCATGCCATTTAGCGACGAAAGCGCCAAACGCATTCTCAATAAATATAGGATACCTTTTTTTCTTAATCATATTTTATCATTTCAGAGTGCTTCTTTAAGTTTTTAATATAAAATGTTTCTTAAAACACAGTTTAATTAATAACTTTCATTTATTTTATTTTTAATACTTACAAAGAATTGTTACCAACAATAGGTATTGTTCAACAAATTGAAATTCTTTTAAAAATGACAAAATTGATTTAATTAAAAAATATCCCGGTTTTAAATGTAAAACAGAAAGATAAATTTGCTTTCTAAAACTTGTTCCTAATGTTTATACCAAAAAATGATTCAAATACAATTATGTGTGCAAAGTAATTACATTAAAAACTAAAAAGATAACGAAGGAACAAAAATAACGTGATAACTCTTTTCTATGCGTAAATGATCAATTTTACACAGTTATGCGATTTAGATAGGTAAGGAATAGAACGAGGAAAAACAGGATTAACAAGTAGTTCTTAGAAAACATCTAACTTATAGACGACACATGATGACAGTAATCGTTCAGAATATATTTACAAGAGCAGTACAAAGAATAACGCGATATTACACGTACATATTTGTTGTTACGTACACTAACAAGTAATTGGTAAGCAGGTGAACAGTTTAATTGTTAATCGAGGCACGTGACAATAAGGCATTTCTACAGAGGACAAAATACGATCATGCATATGTAAGATATTTCGTTTTCTATGCTCCCTCATAGTTTGCTGATGACTTAGAGTGTATTAAACTTGTTATTTGTATTTGAAAACAGTTTGCAACTTCTATGTTATATGTTTTTTTAAAAAACTACGAAAATTCTATATATCATGTTTCTCATTAATCATAATTACTTTAAACGTACGCTTTAATTTAAAAATTCTTTCACCAACAAGAAAATATGTCTCGAGAATTTAATTTTCTTTTCAAAGAATAAAAAATATTTCTTAAAGGGAAGTTTACAACTGACTTAATTTATTCTAGATCATACCTCTCTAAATTTTTAATCAATGGTCTATATACTTTTATCGATATTTATAGTCTGTAACAACATAACCTTCAAATAATATTAACTATGTTAAACACATATTAACAATTTTTATTTTATTATTAAAAGGTATAAATATCGAATATATTTAAGATGATTGCTATACGTGAAACGCCCTGTACATAACACATACAAAATCTTTAAAGATATTTAATATCTTAAGGTTAGCTTAAGGTCTTTTAGAAGTCATGTTGCTACACAATATCAAAGTTATTTTATAATTACGATAAATAAAATATGATAATTTTGAAAAAGCAAGACAGACTCTTCTCAAGATTCTCCTTTTTCTCCTAGAGTAATAAAAATATTAAAAAAATAACATCGGTGAATAAGACACCTAGTATATTGAAAGTGTTTTCGCGCAACGTTTGAGAATCCAATTAGCATAATCGAGCGAAGTAGAGTTGCAGAACGTTTTCGATCTTACATGTACATGATCGTACGAATTACATTAGTGGACGTCACAATGAAAGTTGTGTTAGTACGTCAGTGCAAAAAATGCGTATCTGTGTGTTATTTATCGCTTCCTGCGTGTCTCATTACACCGATTACACAATAATATACCACATTGTTCGTTAAGAGTGTGTCGTGTGTATATGTATATGCGTGTGCACAGATTATACAAAATGTGGAAAGATTTATCGCTAGAAAATCAATTATAAACTTGAGAATAGAGAGCAGAGGATTTCGAGGTCAAGAAGTGTCAAAAGTTAGATGTATTATGATGATCGAGCAACATCTAACGGTCACGGATTGTATATATTGTATATATTTTATAACTTTGCGGTGCGATAGTTTATAGGGGTATGAGTGTTTTCATTTCTATCATGTAAACAGAAAGAAAAGAAGATCACGTGAGTGGAAACTATATTTTTCACCAACAATCTTTATCTAAAGGGAAAATATTATTAAAATATATACTAATAGAATTTTCATGTAAAAAAAATAATTGAAAAGAAATAAAATACATGAAAAGTATTGTATTGTAAATATGTGAAATTTGCTACGGAATTTTGTAGAATTCATTCGCAGCCGATTAATGTCTGGGGAAAAAGGAGATAAAGCATAGAAATAGTAGTGTGTACGTGTTCATTTTTTAGACACAATCGGAGATATCAAACAACGAAGATATATATATATATATATTGTAAGCGGGAAGAAACGTTTACGAAGTGGACAGTATGAGATCAATGAACAAAATATGATTGTAAACTAAAAAGAAGAATGTATAATAATCACGGACACACCACAGTGTTAATAGTTTTACCATAATCGTTATTTATTGGAACGTGTGCGAATATTACTATTGGTCTTCCATTTTAGAACAGCAAATACGATATAAGTATTTTAGCAGATGAGTCGTAGTTTTTACAAATATTAAACATCGCATTTTTTTAATATAAAATTCGTGCTTTATTCGAACACGTCCAATAATTCAACAAAGATACACAATTTATACAACAATATTTGTATATCACATGATATACATATCTTTTCTATTCGTACAATTTGTGTCACTGGATTGTAATATATGAAATATGTATTTCCGATATATCGTATTATGCTATAATATGAGATATTTTCAATAATCAATTACTAGATTTGTTATTTTTAAATCTTGTATTTACTGAATTAAAAAAACAAGAATTAAATAAAAAATGTTTCATTAAAATTTCCTAAATTAAATGAAATAAGGTTAATGTACATATGTTACAATCCATTAACTTTGAAGAGAAGACAATGGAACAGGCAATGTTTTATAAATACATTGACTATTTTATATATAGGAAACCAATGATTTTTTAGTCCCACACATACCTCTCGACATCATATCCGGTATCGAAGAAACTCAATTTCGAGTTTGAACTTGAATTTCCTTTCTCCTTATAACAGTGAACCGTTAGAAAAATATTTTGCTATCAATTATGTTATTTCTGTGCTTTCTAAAGAGCAGCACTTCCTTCAACTTAACGTTTGTGCGAAAATATAAATCAGTTGATCTAAACAATCGATTTATTTAAAAAGAATGTTCCAGTAGAAGGAAAGGTTATCGAGTACCTATTTTATATAAGTTAATCGTTTAAAAACCGTATAAACGTAAGATATAAATGTTATAAAATATTAAACGTTTAAGACCTCTATCTTTTAAAAAAAGGTATTTGTGACAAATGAAATTTCAGGTTTGACTGTATAAATTATATTATAATTCATGAATGACTGCAAATTTGCTTTTGATGAATAAACCGTAGGTGTTGGAATAACGTTTTCTAAGCACATGCGAATTCGATATTCTTTTCTTTTTTATAGAAGCAGCACACTATAATCAACGAATGTCCTTGATGGCTCTACAGATAAGTCTCTTCATAGTTCCTTAATTCTTTAAGCTATTTTCATTTTCAAGTCTTCAGCATTGTTATGTGTATTCGAAATATGTTGATACATAGCGTAAAAAAAAGTAAAAAAAAAAAAGAAAAAAAGGTGATACGTTAAAAAGGGACCATAAAAGTTTCATTAATACTAGAACACGATCAATAACAATAATAATACTCAAAATAGTTATATAATCTTGCCCATGAAATATTAATATTAATATTATTATTATTATTTCCTTAAGCTGTACTTCAAGACTTGGTCTTCAGATCTGAACTAATATCCAATTCTACTCGCATATGCTCAAGTTCCTCTTAAATAAAATAATGTCAAATGTAAAAACCAAGTAAAATGTATTCTATGGGAAACATCATATCATTATGCTGATACACTGAAATATAACCACAATGCATGTTTACAATGATTCCGCGCGCGCGCGTTTATATGTAAGTGTGTGTATACGTCTGGAGACGTATATACGCCGAGTGTGTGCGAGAAAAAGAAGTTTTGTGATGTGCATAGAAACTGTATGAAATAATCGTCGATATTAACTTCTGCTAAACTTTTAGATAATAATCATACTGACCGAGCTATAGGCGAAACGGCGCATATGGTCATCCATAATCAGTAATAATAATAATAATAATAATAATAATAATAATAATAATAATAATATTCAAATGTAACAAATTCGGCCTTATGTCGGAGACAAGGAGCGCAGGGTCTGTACCTCGTCTGTGTGCTGCCCAGTATGTCGGTTTCGGTATCGTCGACGACCGGGCAGCTAAAACCCCCATCCCCTTGAGCAGAGACCTGTACCCAAAGAGCTGTAACGTCCACCTTCTTCAACAAGCCGGCCCGGAACTGTTATGCACATTATTTCAGACCGGCAGGCGTGCCTATACTTTACGGCAGTCATGTCTGTCTTGTCTGGTCTGTCGTTCGGTCCAGCTCGTCAGTCTTTCAAGTGCCCGTCGGCTTTTTTGCCTTCGAGCACTTTTGTCACGTATCGTGTTATGTCGTCCCATTTGTCCTTGCTTTTCAGCATCTCGGTCACGACGTTGTCTGGTGTAATGTCCCTAGTCCTTGTCTTAAGTCTCTGTCTGTCGACTGTCCATCGGTCGCACACGAAGAACGTGTGCTCCGCGTCGTCCCTGTCATGTCCACAATACCTGCAAGACGGGGTCGTAACCTTCCCCATCCGGTACAGGTACTGCCGGAAGTATCCGTGTCCAGAGAGGAACTGGGTCAGATGGAAGTTTACTTCCCCAGCCCCCCCTCTCCGTCCAAGGTCGCACGTCCTTTATTAGGCGTCTCTGTCCGTGCTTCTGTGGCGGCCCTTGTCCTTCCCTTTTCTTTACTGGTCTCGAATATTTTCTGTCCTGGTCTCAACTATTTTCTTTCGTTCGAGAGCTAAAAGATCTATGGGGATAACCCCGGCGATCACCAGCACCACCGCTTCAGATACAGTGCGGTACGCGCACGCGATCCGCAAGGCCCCCCTTCGCTGTACCACCGCAATCTTTTTCGGTACTTCGCGACTCGCAACGCGTCCGCCCATATCTCGGCTCCGTA